GTGTATGTATGACCTCAGGGTATGTGCAGTATATATATGACCTCAGGGTGTGCACACTGCAAAGCCTTTACCCAGCATGGATCATGCCTTCTCTTCCTATCCTTCCCCAGATTGTATACTTTAGCCCTCCCCAAATCCAGGAGCCCATGTGTGATTAGGGTCGAATTACATACAGTTGGCTGGGAAGGGAGGGTGGCTGGATAATCTGGTGAGGGTCCAGTGACCCTGCTTGGCCTTCCTTTAATGAATGAACACAGCCGTCAGTGAGCCCAATTGTGATAATGTTTAGAGATCAGGCTCAGCTGAAGTAGTGATGATATTTCATGCAGAAAGGACTGCTGTACAGCATCATCTTATTGAAAAGACCTGGAATTTAAAAGGATTTGGTGCTAGGAGACATATGAGGGAGAACATACGTCATTTGTTTTTCTGAGTCTGTGTTACTTCACTTAGTATAACAGTTTCTAGATCCATCCAGTTACCTGCAAATTTCATTATTTCATCTTTCTTTACTGCTGAATAGAACTCCATTTTGTAAATATACCACATTTTTGTTAACCACTCCACAGTTGAAGGGCACTTAGGTTGCTTCCATCTCTTAGCTGTTGTGAAAAGAACAGAAACAAACATGGTTGTACAAGTGTCTCTACAAGAGGATGAGTCCTTTCGGTATATACCAGGGAGCAGTTTAACCGGGTCATATCATAGGTTCATTTTTAGTTTTTTATGAGTTCTCCACACTGTTTTCCATAGAGGTTGCATGAGTTTGCAACCCCACCAGCAGTGAATGAGTGTAGCATTTGGTGTCATTGGTCCCCTTGATCTTAGCCAGACTGACTTGGGTAAGGTGTAACCTTAAGGTGGTTTTAATTTGCATTTCCCAAATTACTAACAATGTTAACACTCTTTAAGATGTTTCTTAGCCATCTCTTCCTTTGAGAACTCTGTTTAGATCTTTAGCCCATCTTTTAATTGGGTCAGTTGGTTTCCCAATTCTTTGTATTTTGAGTTATTTATATATTCTGGATGTTAAACCTCTGTCAGATGTGTCATGGGTGAAGATTTTTATCCAATTCTGTGGGTTTTCTTGTCACTTTTTTGACTGTTACTTTTGCTGTACAGAAGCTTTTTAGTTTAATGAGGTCCCACTTGTTGATTGCTGACCTTAATTCCTGAGCAACTTCTGTCTGATTTAGAAAAAACCTTTCCTACACCTGTATCTTGTAAGGTACTGCTAATACTTTCTTCTAATAGTTTGAGGGTTTCCAGTTTCACATTGAGGTCTTTGATCCATTTGGAGTGGACTTTTGTGCAAGGTGAATGTGCTGGATAGCTTTAGTGTCAACTTGACACACCTGGGTTGAGGGAGCCTCAATTGGGGAATTGCCTCTATTGGACTGGCCTGTGTCCATGTCTGAGGGGCATCTTCTTGATGAGTAATGTGGGAGGGCCCAGCCCACTGTGGGTGGTGCCACCCCTGGGCAGGTGGGCCTGTGTTGCATAAGAAAGCAGGCTGAGCAGGGGCCAAGAGAGCAAGCCAGTAATCAGCATTCTTCCATGGCCTGTGCTCCAGGTTCCTGCCCTGAGTTCCTCCCTTGGGCTCCCGGATGAACTGTGACCCGGGATATGTAAGCTAAATAAACCCTTTCCTCCCCAAGTTGGTAGTGGTCAGAGTATTTTGTCACAGCAATGAAGAACAAACTAGGACAGTGAAAGGTGAAGATCCAGTTTTGTCAGCACCATTAGTTGAAGATGCTGTCTTTCCTCCATTGTGTGTTCTTGGTACCTTTGTCAAAAATCAGGTGGCTGAAATTACATGTACTTGGGTTTGGATCTTCAGTGATGTTCCATTGATCTGTGTGTCTATTTTTGTGCCAGTACCTTGCTGTTTTTATGACTATAGCTCTGTAGCATACTTTGAGATCTGATACAGTAATCCCCTCACCCCAGCATTGCTCTTTATGCTCAGGGTTGCTTTGGCTATCTGGGGTCTGCAGGTCTTCGGTATCTTTCATCAGGTTTATTCCAAGATATTTTAATTTTTTGCAGCAATTGTGAATGGGAGGATTTCCCTGTATTCTTTCTCCAATTGCTTGCTATTGGCATACAGAAAGGCTACTGATTTTTGTAGATTGATTTTATAACCTGCCACTATACTGAAAGTGTTGATCAGTTGTAGGAGTTTTCTGGTGGAACTTTTGAGATCTCTGAAGTATAGTATCATATCCTCTGCAAAAAATGATAGTTTGACCTCTTCTTTTCCAGTTAGAACTCTAATTTCCTTCTCCTGTCTTACTGTTCTAGCAGGAGTTTCAAGTACTGTGTTGAAAAGGTGTGGAGATAGTGGACAACTATACTGAAAGTGTTGATCAGTTGTAGGAGTTTTCTGGTGGAACTTTTGAGATCTCTGAAGTATAGTATCATATCCTCTGCAAAAAATGATAGTTTGACCTCTTCTTTTCCAGTTAGAACTCTAATTTCCTTCTCCTGTCTTACTGTTCTAGCAGGAGTTTCAAGTACTGTGTTGAAAAGGTGTGGAGATAGTGGACATCCTTTTCTTGTTACCTGATATTAATGGGAATGCTTCTAGTTTTTCTCCATTTAGAATGATATTGACTGTGGATTTGTTGTATATAGCTTT